AGAGGGCCATGCCCTGACTCTGGCTGCTGCCTGTAGGGTAGGTCCCACTCGTGAACGCCCCTACCCTAGAGCCTTCTTCCTGTGGCTTCCTCTGCTCTTAGATGCTTGGACACTAGCTGCTAACAAGGAGGAGGGTGGAAAGGGACACCCCCGACCCCTCAGGACAGTGCTGTTATCCACATCTAACCGTCCTGGAAGCTGAGACCCAGCAGTCTGGTGGCTTTGCCAGATGTAACAATCAAGATGCCCTTGGTTGCTGGTAACAGAAAACCATCCCAAACCCTTCACAGCAGCAGAGGCCTTCAATAGGAGGCCACAGGAGGATCCAGAGACCACAGGAGTGTGGCACCGAGTGGCCAGGAGCAAGGACAGGCAGGGCACTCTTGGTCCCACCCTTCCTCGCTTCCCTGGGTGGCAAACGCAGGCCTGGCACTAGCCGATCACCTGCCTCTGCCCATCGCCATGGGCTTCTACCCACCAGCAGTCCCTCAGGCCACCCCGGCTCCTCGGAGAGACCCCAGGGTACAGTAGGCCCAGAGACACACAGAACCTGCAGCCTCGTCTGAGTGGGATCTGAAGCCCTTATGAGGAGGACTGGGTGGTCACGTGCCGGAATGCGTTGGCAAGTCCAAGGTGAGGCCTTGGTCCTACCAGATGGCCCAGGGAGGGACCGTGGAGCCCTGGGCTGGAGTGGGAGGGGCAGGCAGCCCATAGTAAGCAGTGGCCTGAACCCCTGAACTCTGCTCTCCTGTGCCCCCCAGTGGGTACTGGATCTTGGCAACAGWMCCTGCAGCATCGMTGAGCCTCAGGGCCCATCTCATCYCTGAYCYCTTGTGTGACAAAGGCATGGCCTTGGCTGGCAGGGAGACAGAATAAGGAGACTCGCCTCCCATCTCATCTAATCAGGGCTCTCAGCCGATGCTAAAGGTCCCCCAAGACTGTGGGCAGACAGACGGTGACGGCCAGGAAGAAGGTCTCCAGGGGTCTGGTCTGCACTCTAAGCCAGCACTAGAGGGGCGGTGTGGACGCCACGGCCATCCCGTTCAAGGCAGAGGGCAAGCACAAGGGAGGGGCAGATGACTGACGTGCTGAATGGCAGGGTCACGACTGGACTAGCCCCGCAGACTTACGGGCAGGTCACAGCTGCCGCAGTACTGGAAGGAATCTGTGAGATGCCATGAGATAAGGAAGACAGACTTGGAATTTTTTTAAGTTTTATAGATTTCGGTTGATRTAGAAGACGACTTGAGCCCATTGTGTGACATGCCCACCCACACAGACCGCAGGCCCGGGCACGTGGTGCTGTGGTTCAGGTGGGTCTGAGTGTCGCCCAGCACTTCCCATATTGGAATTTAATCCCAYTGTGAGGTGTTAAGAGGGTGGGAACTTAATCAGAGTATGGTATTCAGAGACCTTTGGGAAGGATGAGGTTCGGATGCAGGCATTAGGGTGGAGCCTCATGATTGAATCCTGGAAACGTTTGAAGAAGGGGGAGATGAAGGCAGACACAGATGCATGCTCCCTGCCTTATCCTGTAATGCTCTGCACTGCCTTGGGACTCTGCCAGCAGGAGGGCCATCACCAGATGAGGCTCCTGGATGTCAAACTTACAGAACCATAAGCCCMAATAAACTATTTTTCTTTGTAAAGTAGCCTGCCTCAGGTATTTCATTATAGTAATGGACAGCTGACTGATRCAGAATGCATGAACGAAGGCTATGTTCTTAGAGCCAGAGTGGTGAGGGTTCCACCTACTGTGTGCCATTCAGTTAAACGTGACATGTTTGGCTCCATCCTAACCCAAACTCCTCAGTGAGCAACTGATAAGTTTAACTCTTAACCTGGAGGAGAGTGTCTAGAATAGCATGGAAATATGAAAAAGAAAGTTTGAATATTGATTGAAAGACACATAATAGCCAGAAAAAAAAATCCTTAGGGAAGAATATGATAGTGATCCTCTCGAGGATTTTTGCACATAGGTTGGGATCCTATGGAGTATTCATTCTTGAATCCACAATGTCAGAATAGGAGCGCTGGCTGCTGTTGCACTGTTATGCTTTGCCCTAGATAGGAAAGAACTTCCAAGATTCGAGTGATCCCACATGAAGGGGACCATGTCCACCTGTCTCCGTGAGCCAGTGAGTTCCAAATCGCAGGAAGCATCCTGCAGAGGCTGGTGGTGGCCAGCCAGCATGAGGACCCTGTACAGGGCAATCCCAAGCTCTGAMTGACTGGGGGTGCTCTTCCGCCCTGGGATCTGCTCTGATTCGGGGACTCAGGCGATGATGAACACCAGCTCCAAGCACTGGGTCCAGCACCCGGGACAGCACTTCAGAGAAGCAGGACCMGGCAGCCGCCACGGTGGCATCACGTCTCTGTGTGTTCTATTTGCAGGGAAAGTCCTGGTCAGCAGCGAAATGGGCATCAGCCGGTCGGCAGTGCTGGTGGCGGCCTACCTGATGATCTTCCACAACATGGCCATCCTGGAGGCCTTGATGACCGTGCGCAGGAAGCGGGCCATCTATCCCAACGACGGCTTCCTGAAGCAGCTGTGGGAGCTCAACGAGCAGTTGATGGAGGAGAGAGAGGAGGACTGCAGCCCAGAGGGAGCCGGCGAGGGCCAGGAGGCCCTGGGCACCCTCGGGGCGAGAGCGCAGCTGACGGTGGAGGAGGAGGACGAGGCCACCAGCCACCTCAGCGGCTGCTCCCTGGGGAAGGCCAGCCAGGCCTCGGAGCCCCTCACCCTCATTGACGAGGAGGAGGAGGAGAAGCTGTACGAGGAGTGGAAGAAGGGCCAGGGCCTCTCGGCGGGCAGCGCGGCCAGGGGTGGACAGTGTCCAGGGCCGGCCTYTTCGCGCCAGGCCAGCCAGGAGCAGGAGCTCGAGGACCAGGGCGTGGAGAGGATCGTCCAGGAGTGGCAGAGCCGCAACGAGAGGTACCACGCCCAGGGCCACCAGCGGTGGGCCCTGGAGGAGGACAAGGAGGTCGAGGAGGAGGAGGGCAAATCCGCGCGGAGGCGCAGGAGGGCGCGGAGCAGGTCTCCGAGAGCGAGAGCACGCTCAGCCAGGAGGCTCGCGTCCTGCGGCAGCTGGAGCTCGGCGGCCCCAGCCCAGGTGCCCGGCGCCGCTCGGACTCSGTGTCCACCGAGAGCACGTGGGACATGTGGAACGAGAGGCTGCTGGAGATCGAGAGGGAGGCCGCGCGGGAGTTCCGCTCCAGGAGCAGGAGGGAGGAGGAGGACACGCGCTCGGAGGCCGGGAGCACGGTGCCTGAGGATGACCAGCAGAGTGTGTGCTCCGAGGCCTGCTCCTTCTACAACTTCTGCAGCAGGAACAAGGACAAGCTCACTGCCCTRGAGAGGTGGAAGATCAAGAGAATCCAGTTTGGATTTCACAAGAAAGACCTAGGGGCAGGAGAGGGCAGCGGTGAGTCGCAGGGCCCTGAGGATACCCCCGGGTAGAGGAACCCCAGGACGTCAACCTGAGGACCTACCAGGCCTGGAAGCTGAGGCACCAGAAGAAGGTGGGCAGCGAGAACAAGGAGGAGGTGATGGAGCTGGGCAAGGCGGAGAACGCCGTCCTGGCCAAGAAGAGACAGCGGAGGCTGGAGCTGCTGGAGAGGAGTCGGCGGACGCTGGAGGAGAGCCAGTCCACGGCCAGCTGGGAGGTGGATGGCTCCGTCGCCAGCGGGAGCATCCCCCTGTCTGCCTTCTGCTCTGCAGCCTGCTCCGTCAGTGCTAATGGGGACACAGGGTCAGTACTGAGCGCCCAGAGCCACCACTCCCACCTGTCCCAGGCTGCCAGCAGCATTGGGGGATGCTCGGCCGCCAACCCCAGCACCCCCCTGCCCAGCCTGCCAGTGGGGCCTGGAGACACCATTTCCATCGCCAGCATCCAGAACTGGATTGCCAGCGTGGTCAGTGAGACCCTGGCTCAGAAGCAGGGTGAAATGCTGCTGCTGTCTCACTCGCCATCCGTGACAAGCATGAGGGCAGGGCCAGCCACCAGCTGCCTGGGGGACGACCAAGTCYCCATGCTCAGTGGACAGAGCAGCTCCCTTCTGGGTGACCGCCTGCTGGGTCAGAGCCAGGCAAGGCCCAGCTCCGACTCCCAGTCCGTGCTGTCCTCCAGCACCTCGCTGAGCTCCAGGGCTGAAGGGGCTGGGAGCAGGGTGAGAGGGACCAGCAAGCCCATCTACAGCCTCTTTGCTGACGATGTGGACCTAAAGGAGCTCGGCCGCAAGGAGAGGGAGATGCAGATGGAGCTGAGGGAGAAGATGTCCGAGTACAAAATGGAGAAGCTGGCCTCCGACAACAAACGCAGCTCCCTGTTCAAGAAGAAGAAGGTCAAGGAAGAGGATGATGGTGCCGGTGATAGGGATGGGGACACAGACAGCGCCATCGGGAGCTTCCGACTCTCTTCCCGCAGTAACTCCCAAAAGCCTGAAACGGACGCCTCCTCCTCCCTGGTGGTCTCTGACCACTGTAGGAGAGGCAGCAGAAATGGCAAGGAGATGGACAGCAGCATCAATAAGTGGCTCAGTGGCCTCAGGACCGAGGAAGACTCTCCTCCCCAGAGTGACTGGTCTGGCAGCTCCAGGGAGCGGTACAGCAGATCTTCCCTGCACCGGGAAACCGAGTCCAAATCCTGCAGTTACAAGTTCTCCAAATCCCGGTCAGAGGAGCAGGACACCTCCTCCTACCACGACGCGGACGGCAGCTCTGTGAGGAGCACTTCCCGTTTCTCCTCGTCCTCCACCAGGGAGGGCAGAGAGACCCACAAGTTCTCYAGGTCCACATTCAGTGAGACCTCCAGCTCCCGAGAGGAGAGCCCCGAGCCCTACTTCTTCCGCCGGACCCCTGAGCCCTCTGAAGGGGAAGAGTCCCCAGAGCCACGGCGCCGGGACTGGGCTAGGCCCAGGGACTGGGAGGACGTGGAAGAGTCATCCAAGTCGGACTTCTCTGAGTTTGGAGCCAAGAGGAAATTCACCCAGAGCTTCATGAGGTCTGAAGAGGAAGGCGAGAAAGAGAGGACAGAAAACAGAGAGGAGGGCAGGTTTGCCTCTGGGCGGAGGAGCCAGTATCGGAGAAGCACAGACAGAGAGGAAGAGGAGGAGATGGACGACGAAGCCATCATCGCTGCTTGGAGACGCCGGCAAGAGGAGACCAGGACTAAGCTGCAGAGGAGGAGGGAGGACTGAACAGGGCCTGGGCCACCTGCCGCTCAGCAGAGCACAGGGCTCAGGCACACCCTGCCACCACCCCTCAGGGGCCGAGGACGCAGAGAGGATCTCTCCAACAGGCAGAGTGGCAGTGCCMGAGTGGAAAGACACCAGGGTTCAGGGTGGGAGGAGAGGAGCCATGCTGGGCCAGCTCGGGCCGTTTTCTGTCATCCAGGGCCCTCTGTGCTTTGGTGCTTAGGTGTTCGACAGTGTGTGTCCTGGGCTGGAGAGGAGAGCGTGAAAGGAATTGCAGTTTGTTGGAGAGTCCAGTGCACATCCAGAAGGCCATAAGGCAGGACTTGGTTCTGTTCAAGTGGTTTCATAACAAGTCCCAGGAAATCTGTCAGCAATGCCCAGCTCTGTTTAATATCTTGGATCTCCATTAAATTGGTTTGTTGTGAAATCTTCCTTCTGCACTCTGGTCACTTTAGCTCTTTCGATGTTAGGGGAAACTCACTTCAGAAGTCATGGTGGGTTTTTATGGGCCAGCCTCACCTTGCTCCACAAAATCTGTGCCTCCAGGCAATGCCACCACCATCTCGTTGTTATATAATAAAGGAACATGGGGTCCAGGAGGGAGGGCAGCTGAGAGGCCATTCCAGGACCCACCCCCACCTCGCCCGGGAGCAACGGAAGGAACTAGGGAAAGAGTGAGGTTAGTGTGTGAGCGGCAAGGTCTGGGGTACAGAGAGGGTCCCTTGGAATGACAGGAACACAAAACCAGCCGGAGGGAGACCAGAAAAGCCCAACAGTACCAGGTGGAGGTGAGTTTTTATAAATCCTTGCTTTCATTTCTTGAAGGCTGATTGGATAATGAGAGTGTACTTGGTCCTTCCTTGCCCTGTGGGTGGGCTGAGCTGGTGAGAAGTCTTTACCCTTGTCACCAAGACATTTCTGCCCCTAAGACACAGGTTGGGTTGCTGGAGCAAGCAGAGGACTTTGAACACCTTACAACTCCACTGGTGGGCTGCTCTCCAGAGCTGCTGTGGGGCCGCAGACCCTGGCCGGATTTGAACAGGCCTGTGCCATGCAGGTGTCTGAGATGTCTTGAGTAACCATGAAGCCCAGCCCACGGACACAGCTGGCCACGACTTGATTATCGAGAGGGCAAGAGTAAGGAGGAATCCACCAGTGGGCAAACAGTAACTGGTGATCCTGGGATCCCTTTCTCTAACCTGAGCTGCCYGGGACGTGGAGACGAGGCAGCCTTCCTGCATGGATTGGCTCAGCATCACGTGCCTCATGGCCTCAAAGACGAAAATGCTAAGAAGAGGGGTGCCAGCGTGATGCCCGATCCCTGCACGGCACGCAGCTGCTGTCGGAGTGGCTGAGTTCATTTCCTGCCTCCCCCTCCCTGTACCTGCAGCTCAATTGCTGTGGCCCCATCTCCCCTCATGATGGACAGGAGCTTGGTGGGGCGGGGCAGGGGGCTCAGTATTTGTCCCATTCCCCCCATTCCCCCCTTTCCTTCTTCCTGTTCACCGTGGCTTCAGTGGGCTCCCCTGGGCCTGTGTACTCCCACTGTGTACAAAGGTGCCCCCCTGGCACCCTCTGCACCAAGAGGCTGCTCCCACGGGCCCTGGGCCTCCGGGAGCTCGGGGTTTCCTCTCCTTCTGTGGGGAGGCTTCTGACCCAGGTGTGAGCAGCTGGGCACCCACAGAAGGAGCATCTTCTGAAGGGAGGACTGAGGATCTCACTGGACGGGCCCTGTGCCGTCTCCACGGAGCCAGTTAACCCGGGTGTCTGCCCAGGCCTCATTTTTAACATCACTCACACGACACACAGATGGGTCCCCRTCATGTCAAGGTAGAGGAGAAATCTCACAACCCACTCCTGGTCCATTCCAACTCACTTCTCTGAATGTGGACCAAGCAGTTGAGGGGTGTGGAGCTGAAGAGTCGCCAGCCTTGCTCCAGCCGGGATGTGCACTGCCCACTTGTGTTGAGATTTCAGGCTACAGGGGCACCTGTAGACCAGCTTGGCTTACCAGCAGGGGAAGCCAGAGAGGTCCTTTGCTGGCCTTGCTGGGGACCCTGCCGCCCAGGGAGTCTGTCTGAGAATTCAAGACTCTGGATTTGGCTTATTCCTGGAGTCCAGAGTCTATTTTTGGAAACCATATCAATAATAATTGTATCTGATTTATGATGAACTTGAGGAAATATCTGGGATTGAACTGTTAGACTCCCAAGTGTGACTTCTGCATCATACCTAACCGAGGGTGACAGCGGCAGTCCCGCGTGCTGTCTGCCTGTTGGTAAAAGCCCCACAGGAAGCAGCGGGCACATCTACAGTGGTGACCGAGGGGAGCTCGAGGTGGGACGTTTGCAGAGCACCAGAGGGAAGGGGTCAGAGGGAGAGAGTGGCCCCACCCTGGTGCTGAGGGACAAAGTGAGGAAGCTGTTTCCAGAGCCCCTCAAGAGCCATGACCAAGGGAGAGGGGCCCCGACCACCTGGAGGTCAGGGAAATAAATGTCCCGACCCCTGTCCCCCCACTGTGGTCTCATGTCGTAGCYCCCACCCAAACCTGACTGAAGGCAGTAAGTGGAGGAGGCTGAGGAGGGAGCCACTGCCCAAAGGGTGACGCACTGAGAGGAAAGGACACCACGCAGCCCTTTCCAAGGACGTGTCTTGGAGGAGGGAGACKCTCTGCACTGAACACAAAACCCACCCGCCCTAAGATCAGCACTTGGCACCGAGTTTCAGCTACATGGAATCAACTGTTGGAGAYGCTGAGTTTGTCTTACAAGAAAACAAATAAGGAGAACGAACCTGAAGTTTGGCCTCTGCCCTCTCCTAAGGTACTAGAGCTCACGAGGAGAAAACTCCCGACTTCCTGGCTGTGAGCGGGTTTGGGAGACCCGGAGGCATCCTGTGCACCCAGGGCTGGGCTCCACCTGTGGGCCAGGAGCGGCAGCTCCCTCAGGAACCCCAGCGACACAGAGGGCTGGGGACGGAGTCACAGAACTCCAGCCTCTCCTACCCTGGCGACTGCCTGCCTCCCACCCGCAAATCCCTCGTCAGTCAGCCCGTGACAGTGTGGATAACAGGGTGGGGAGAACCTGCTTTTAGTGTTTGGAATGTCACCAGAATAGAGAGTGTGGGTTTCTCTGGGCTCCCTGAGGCGGACCCCTGGAGAGTCATTAACCAATGACAATTGAAGAACACCATCTGTCTTAAAGCACCCTGAGTGCCACACCCGTCCCCTAGGGTCGTCTGCTCTGCTGCTACCAAGAGAACACCATAGGAAGCCACGGAAAGTGGACAGTCTCAAGTCAGGGACAGGCTCAAGTCCCTCACAAGAAGTAGCTAGGTGCCGTGGTGCAGGCCTGTGTCCCAGCTACTTGGGAGCCACGGCAGGAGGATGGCAGGTTCCAAGCCAGTCCCAGCAACCTAGTGAGACCCTGTCTCAAAATRCAAACTCAAAAGGGCTGGAGGTAGTTCAGCCCTAGAGCGCCTCCCAGAACCAGCAACAGCAACAGCAAAAGAGTTGTCAAGCGAATCAGRAGAGCCCGGCCAGGTCTCCCACCTCCTCACTCCCACCTGCACCTGGGCCAGCCGGATGGCTCCTCCACGCGTCCACTCCCTTCATTCTGCCACCACCCCCCAAAACCAGGCCTCTTCCCCGCCCCTGGTGGTTGCAGTGGACTTATAAACTAGTTCCGCCTCACCACCCCTTCCCTATCCCAGGACCCGATTCATCTCCCCACAGCTCACAATTCCGTTTCTGTTTACTACTGTGTGTTTGGACTCTGAGGGCTCCCGACCAGGGAGTCTTAAGTTCCTGTGCATGGCCGCCGTCCGTCCCCCTCTGGCTGCGGGTGGGCCCCATCTGGAGCACTCTCAGCTGTCCCTCTGTGTGGCCCTGCCCTGTTTCCCTGCTGGGGTGCTGCCCTCCAAGTCCTTCTAGCAGCAGCCCACACTTAAATCCCTCCCAGCCACTGGGCCACACAGTCTCCTCCTCCTCCGACGTCACACAGCACTCTGTGCCTGACTCTGGGCTCACCCCAGTCTGCTTTTCTTCATAGGCATCTGGTACTTCAACTTTCCTAACTTTCACCATGTCTGTGGTGCTACAATTAAGTAAGATTATTTTAATGTGCCGAGACCGTTCATAGCACGCAGGAGAATTTAGTGGTTCCACGTGGCTCCATATAATTCTATAACAATGATCAGTTATAATTGTTATTATTAGAGACATGGTGTGGTAAGTAGTTAAGAACACAGCTTTGTGATCTAATTGAAAAACTGCCAACACTTATACAAAGTGTTTACCGAGTTCCAGGCACTACACTGAGAGCTTTAGCATGGATTATCCACTTTGTGTCTACTGTTATCAACTTGATCTCTCCCCAATCCTATCCTTGGTTATTATTAATTTCTGAAGCACATGATGTACAAACACCGTGCCAGCCACTGGAAATTCAGCAGAAATCAAGGCAGATCAAACTTGGCCTCAGGGAGCTGGCCATCCTGTTACAGGAAACAGTGGACAAACAGGCCTTTCGAGATCTAGAACACTGTTCACGTCTGTCGGCCTGTGCATGGTGTCTGTCCCCACTAGCAGGGAAGCTCGCGGGGAAAGGGTTATTCTGGGCTGCATCTCCCACAACTTGATACCAAGCCTTCTCTGGATGAAGACAGGAAATGCTCTGAAGGAAGTGACGGGGACAGGCATGGGGTGGCGTGGCTTTAGGCAGGTGACATGAAACCTGGACCAGTCAGGCCAGGGCCCAGGGGAGAGATTGCTCCCCCTGGTCAACCCCTGGGGACACTGGGGCTCTGGGAGGAGGGATGATGAACTACCTGGGCCACAGGGCTAGTCCACGCCCAGCCTGAGGGAGTCCCCTGGAGTCTGACTTCAGGCCACGCACCTCACAGGGCAGGCAGCCTCTGAGGGTGCTTGGGAGGGTGCCTGTGCATCTAACCAAAAACACGGGCTAAGGGTCCGCTGGCTGATTCAGCAAGGATCCTGGGGCCCGAAGGAGGCAGCTTGTCTCTGCTGAGGCTCAGAGTGCCTGTCTGTCCGTCCTTCCTTCCTTCTCTCTCTGACTTGCTCGCTCTCTTTCTTCCCGATGGGTGAGCAAGACCGTTAGGTGTAATGGGAAGAGAATGTCACAGGATTCACAGTTGGAGGGGACTCCAGGCGGGACTCAAGTCCAGGGTGGAGTGGTTCAGCCACCTGCTTGGGAGAATAGCCGCTTCTGCTCACCGCGCTGGCCGTGGAGCCGGCACTCCTGGGAGCCTCGCTGTCCGGGCCCAGGGATGCTGCGAGCTCTCCAGCACAGCCTGTCCTGACCCATGTCCTGCTCTCCCAGGCAGAGCAGAGACAGGGAGGAGGAGGAGACAGGGGAAGGAGCTTGGCTCCAGAGGCCATTGGTAATGACGGTCCTGCCCTGCTCTGGGCCTCACGCCCAGGGGACTGCCAAGGGCCTCTGGAGGAACCAAGCCTTCCTCACAGGAACCCAGAGGGACTAAACGCCCATTCACAGGCAGAAGGGCAGAGAGCAGGCAGGACTCCCTGCCTTTTGTGGGACATGGAGACCAGGTGGATCATTTCAAAGACAATGCCAGTAATGTCCCGGACCCAGCCCCAGGGGCCCCAGAGAAGGGACACAGCAAGAGAGACCCTCCTGGCACTTCCTTCGGGGATGCCATCTGAAAAGCCCAATGATGACCACGTGGTCAGATTCACCCAGCTCCGCTGCCCAGCATGGCAAGGCTGTGACACGGGTTACTATCCCACCTTACAGATGG